CAACTACTGAACAACTAATTATATATTGTCAATCGCCAAAAGCCTGCGAAATCCTTGACTGACGGATTTTATAAAGTTTATATTTTAATTTCATTGTTGGTGGTAATGATGCATTTAAAAAACGAGAGGTTTTTCTGACATACATCATACACACACTGGAAATGATTTGATAATATTGCGATATATATCATGACTTTTATGCATGTACGTATATTTTATATGACTAACAACCATCTAAATAGAGAAAATATTGGAACATATACACTGTCAACAACATTAAAACAAGAAAATAATGCGCAAACTCCAGACATTGAACAGGTTTCGAGAGAGGAGGTGCATCTCATCCACAGGGGGGCGGTGTTTCAGACTAATCACCGCCCATCTCAAACACCCGGAAACACTCTCATTAAGGGTCATTTAGCATCACGCTTCCAACATGGCGGTGAATCTTACAGACCTCTCCCTGCCTCAGTTAGAGGGACTGAAAACCCAACTGGACCAGGTAACATTAAAAAGTGTCGTGTATTTGATGTGTGTCTGTGTTCTTTGATATCGACCGTATGAGGGAGTTAATGTGAAGGAGGGCGGGACGCTGTAGTTAGCACATCTCATGCTAACGGTGCAAACGTTAGTTAGCGTCAAATATCCAGTCACCCACTGTGTTAGCCGGGTCTGTGTCACACAGCGACAGATACATGTTAGATACATGTTAGATACTTGGCTCATTTGAGTGCAGTTTGAGTCCAGATCAGCTGGACACGTAGTGGGTGCAGTGTGTGTGTGGTAGTGTGTTGCAGTGGGTTTGATCGCTTTGTGTTTGGACTCTGTTTGCAGGAGATTGAGTTCTTGACGTCTTCAATAGGTCAGCTCAAAGTGGCCCAGACCAAGTATGTTGAAGCAAAAGATAGTTTGAACGTCCTGAACAAAAACAATAAAGGTGAGTAAAATGCATATAAAATGTATTTTTTATTTATGTTTATTATTGCTTTGTCTCTCGCCAAACCTCTTACCTGTTAATAGAGTAAACTGGGATTGTTTGAGTGTTTTTTATATATATGGTATGGTGAATAAGAATACCGCTCTTCTATATATTTGAAATGGTGAACGTTGTGTTTCCATCAAAAAGTTTCACCAGGTGTCTTAGTACAAGTATATGTTGAAATAATTTATCTTTAAAGTGTACACTACTACATCAGCATGTTTGCACAAATGTATGTGCTGTGAATTATGTCTCCACAGGTATATTGCCATCCATTTGATCAAAGTTTATAAAATCATCCCCCCCATTGATGAATTTGATGAATTGTTTCCCCCTTTCTCTCCTCTCTGATACAGGAAAAGAATTGCTCGTGCCTCTTACCAGCTCTGTATCCTTCCTTCACTGTGGAACAACCAGCATTTCATGTTACGCTGTGTGTGTG